TTCTTCCTCCATTCTTGTCAGTGGCTTTCCATTTCTCTTATCTTTCTGTCTTTCTCTGTATCTTCTCATTCTGAGCTTTGATTTGTTGTTGTAATTTTTTTTCTTATCGTCCTTTAACCCCAATCTGTAAACTGCAGTTCGTAAACACTCTTCTTCTCTAAAATGCTCATACTTTCCAGCTGCTTTTAATTTTTCAATCTTTTTTTGATAAGTAGACTTCTTCTCATCTGGATCTATATCCAACATGCGGATTATTGGCATGGATTTTCTTGAAGATTTTCTTCTTTGGTGTGGTTCTGAAAAAGAAAAGCAATAAATTAAGAACCAATGTGACTAAGTTTACAAACTAAAGCCCAGAAAGATAGATGTTCAATGGAAAGCATCTCATGGTTTAGAGTGTCCATTATGGGTTTGTTTTCTAAATGAATGTCTTACTAAACTTTTTACAGTAATTTTACAGCATTTAAAGATTTGTTCACATCTATGTCAAGTAAATCACATACAGTGAGTTTAATTGTGTTTTGAGAAGGGACCATACAGGTTTTGACAGCTGTTTCATTTATTTTTCAGTTGACACTAGAGATAAGAAATGTTGCAAGCTTCAAATTATTAATTGTTTCATTATTGATTTTCATTAAACATTTTCATAAAGAACTGTGTATAAATGTCAGAATTATTTTACAAAGATGTACAAAAATTCTTATACATGTAATTCACATTTATTTACAAATGCTTAGAAACCCAGGAGTCAATATTACTTACATAATTTTAATTGTTTCCGATTTTAAAATTTCAAGGGCAATAGTTTTTGTATATTATTGAATATTTAATTAGTATTTTTATTAAACATTTTACATTTTTATGTAAAGAACTGTGTATAACTGACAGAATTATTTTACAACGATGTACACAAATTCCTACAATTCACATCTATTTACAAATGTTGTTCGAAACATTCACAGACTTCGAAGAAAAACTTGGGAGTCAATGTTACTAAAATAATATTAATTGTGCCAAATTCTGAAACTTCAACAATTCAAGGGCAATAGTTCTTGTATGGTTTGTATTTTCAAATATTGTCTATCATTAAACAAAAAATTACAATGTATTTGCTTTTATCTTTGAATAAAATGTTGTTGGTAACCATGAAAGAAAAATATGTCATGTTACCAGCTTTAATATTATTGAATATTTAATTAGTATTTTTATTAAACATTTTTTATTTTTATGTAAAGAACTGTGTATAACTGACAGAATTATTTTACAACGATGTACACAAATTCCTACAATTCACATCTATTTACAAATGTTGTTGGAAACATTGACAGACTTCGAAGAAAAACTTGGGAGTCAATGTTACTAAAATAATATTAATTGTGCCAAATTCTGAAACTTCAACAATTCAATGGCAATAGTTCTTGTATGGTTTGTATTTTCAAATATTGTCTATCATTAAACAAAAATTTACAATGTATTTGCTTTAATATTTGAATAAAATGTTGTTGGTAACCATGAAAGAAAAATATGTCATGTTACCAGCTTCAATATTACTGAAAGCTTAAACGTGTCAGGTTACCAACAATGCATTCCCCGTTTGTTCGCGAGAACCACCATTTGTTTGCGGACAAGAAGTTTGCATAAAAGTATTCTATAATTAAGCAAATAATGAAAGAGAATATTAATATTGATTTACGGTATTCATATGTTGTTCGTAATTTGACACTTGCGACTCAAATGTACGTAATTAATTGACAAATCCCAGTTTTCTTACCAAATTCGACATCTCCTGCTTCTTTCGTCGCCATGTTGCCATTAACAAGTCGTCTATGCTGTAAATGAGTTGTATGATGTCGTTAAATTCTCGATCACTCTCGACGGCGAAAAATGAGAAGGATATCGTGCGAACGTAAAGTTGACCGACAAGCAACACTTTTCGTAATGACTACAGTTTAAAACATTTCAAAAGTATAGCCGATAAACATTTTGCCTTTTCTAAGATAAAATAAGAGTGTTTACATTTTACGACATTATTTAAGTACATCACACGATAGCGCTCCGTCTAATCTTGTCATTAGCGTACGTAACAAAGTTGACCGACGCAGTTACGATTTTTTATTTATTTTTTGGTGACGATATCTTAACAAATAGCCAACTCGAAGCTCTTGTTGTGCAGTATTTGAAAAATTAAACATTAAATTGTTTACAACTGCACCTCAGATAGTTAATTTAAACACATAAGTAAAAATGGGGATCAAATCAAAGTTCAGGAGTATGAAAATGTCACACTTTTGGTGCATGTCAAACTGCAGAAAATGCATTTGACACATTTCTTTTTCAAGTGAATTATTTTTATTTCACAAAATTACATTTTAATATTATCTTTACATCAGACCCCCAAAATAATTATCAACAATTCATTTACTGTATTCTGTTTCTTGGGTATTTTATCATCACACTGATAATCGTTGGTAATAAAGTGTCAACTTCATGGAATGACCCATTTATCAACTTGAAATTTGGACTGTGGTTAGAAAATATGTAACTGGGGCTTGTGCTGGAATGGGGTGGGAATCGTTCATAAATTAAGACAGGTGACAGACAGGTAAATACAGGTAAACAAGAATAATTGAAATAAAAGAATAAAACTGATATTGTTTTTAGCTTTTACCCGCAAAAACACATTCCATATTGTTCATAATGATACAGTTATTTATAAAATTCATTATAATGCAGGTACATATCAGCTAACAACCACAGGTGAGTCTCGGGTGAGTCACAGGTACTCCAAAAAATGTTCAGAATTTTACCAATTGTATAGTTTATAGCCAATTTTGATCACTAGTAGGCTTACTGTTTAGTAATTATATCAGTTATGTTCTCCAATATTCTTTGAGGTGATGCCAAGCATGCCAACATGTTGAACCTTGGCGAATGCATAAATATACGTCACATGTTGTGCATTTGAAAACAGTTCGTGTTTGGGAGACTGGTAGGTTTTTTACGGTCCTTTAGTCCTTTATTTGCCCTCATGTACCTATTATATTTTTCTCCACAAACACGACACACACCATAACCAGTCGTTTCTGCTGGTCTCACCGGATGATGAGTGCCGACATTCTGGAGTCTTGGTTCAGGAATAGAGTTTACGGACAACCGCCTGCGAACAACAGATTCAGTCCTATACTCCCCAATCAACCCAAGTGCAATTTCGTTAAGAAAATAACCAAAGGTTTTATGTCTACGACGGGCAGTTCTGTTTGCAAACGCATTAAATAAAATATATGCATTATAAACTGATCAGAAGATAAAATTCATCATAAGGCGTCGCGGCCATCGATAATGCCGTCTCCATCGGTTTAATCTTGTCAGCTGGTCATTTTTATCCGTTCCTCCCATATATTTATTATACAGTACAACAAGCTCGGGACAGTTAATTTCTAATAAAGTTCCATCCTTCGCCCGTCTATTTATTTTTTCTGTCTTTGTCGGATCAGAGAATGTTGATAGAAAAGTTATTGGTTCTCGGTCTTTCCAAACCATGGCAACTATGTTATCAGATGCTCGAAAATCGGAATCCCCTCTCTTCATAGTTTTTTTTATGCCTTTTGGTTTCCTTCAACTCATCCGAAAAAAAACTTTCTGTTGATCATGGTCGTACCAACGGCATGCATCTCCATTTCTCTGTACATGTATTCGAACAATTTTATGGAGGTATAAAACCTATCCATAACAATTATATGTTTTTTTTTTTATTGAGCTCAAGTCCAGAACACAAACGCACAACTACACTTACTGTGCTGCCTAGATCCGCTGAATAAAATCCATCATTTTTACCTGTGTAGATTTCTGCATTCATGAGGTAGCCACTTTCGGATTCGCACAGTAAGAACGACTTTATCCCCCACTTTATTGGTTTGATTTTGATATACTGCTTGATGGAAAGCCTGTTTTTTGCTGGAATCATACCCTCATCTAAACTCAAGTATTGCTTTGGATTCCAATACTTTTGAAATTTTTTCAAAAAATCCTCAAGCATGGGTCTCACTTTGTAAATCTTGTCTGATTTATCAATATCCTCATTCTCTTCATCGACTATATGTATAAACTTCCATATAGCCAAAAATCGATCACGGGTGAAAACATCTCTAAATCCAGGTGTAAATGTCACAAAATTTGTGGCTTCTTTGCTGAAGTAATCCTCATACCTTGGTTTAGTGAGACTGTGTTCAACTATCATTCGGATTCCTATGAATGCCTTCATTTCATCACATTCAATATTTGTCCATTTTGAGGCATAATAGTCTGTAGGTTTTGATGCCTTCACCTGTTGTGCACGTAAATTGGTATAATGACATAATTGTTCAATAAATTCTTCGTTCAAAAATAGCCCAATAAACTCCATAACACTGGTTTCATTTGTAAAATGATCTGGCATATTTTTCGGACCACATAAATCTCCAACAAAGGAAATATCAGGCGTGTTTACATTCTTTGTCCACACACAGTGAACGTCCCCGATCCATCCGTAGACGTATACGCCATTATTTTAAATCTTGATGCGCTGTCGCTTCCCGTGAAATTGAACAATACTGATTTTATAGTGTCCGATGAATTTATTTTCACAAATGATCTTTGATTAATTCCTATTTCTTGCCCCACATGGAGGCACAGATATCCCGCCATTTTGAAGGACAGTTCTTGTGGGATCAAATTATAATTGGAATCATCCTTGAAATGTTGCCAGAGAGTAAATACCAGTAAATGATATCCATAAAGCTCAGAGAATTATTTAATTTTACTCAAGCGTGGTCACAAGTGGTCTTTCTATGTTGTTAACTAATCTGTCCATGGATTGTTGGGCTACAGTCCAAGGCTTTCATGGTTGAGTATTTCTTCCTACATTTGGTTCTTTATTGGATACAAATTTGTAGAAAATGTTAGAATACATCAAGAGTTTACAACTATGCAATCACATTACCTTCCCCTTAATCACAATAAAACACAACACCATCCGGTGGGCTTGATAATTCTTTATTACAAAAATTATCTTACTAAAACTACATACTAAAAACATAAAAACACAATTATATAAACTACATGTATGCTATAGCACAAGCTTGAACATGTAGTTGCTAAGGCACAGTCGAGAGACGCAATTATGCAAAGGCACTATAAAAAAGCGCAATAAAACAATGGCACTATAGAAAAGCGCAATACAAAATGGCACTATAGAAAAGCGCAATACAAAATGGCACTATAGAAAAGCGAAATAAAAAATGGCACTATAGAAGAACGCAATAAAACAATGACACTATAGATATGCTCAAGTATGCAAGCACTATTAGGAGCACAAAAACTTCAGGTTTATTATGCGACAATATAAAATATGTTTTGCCCCTATAAATATAACATACAATTAATTACAATTAATAATCCCCTTCAGCCTCCAAACAAAAAAAAAAAAAAAAAAAAAAAAAAAATTTGGATGCGGGTGGGTGGGGCAAAGTTAAACTATGATAAGCATCTTAAAAAGCGCACTCAACCCAGCAAGCAACAAGCATTGAGTGAACTGGCGCCAAAATTGTCATCTTTGTGTACAATCAATCGTGTCCAGTGGTGTACACAGAAAGCCATGACGTCATCATCGAGCGCCACCTACTGGCTGTGTTTTACGTAGACAAACAATTGTCCACCCCAAAACACAACACCATCCGGTGGGCTTGATAATTCTTTATTACAAAAATTATCTTACTAAAACTACATACTAAAAACATAAAAACACAATTATATAAACTACATGTATGCTATAGCACAAGCTTAAACATGTAGTTGCTAAGGCACAGTCGAGAGACGCAATTATGCAAAGGCACTATAAAAAAGCGCAATAAAACAATGGCACTATAGAAAAGCGCAATACAAAATGGCACTATAGAAAAGCGCAATACAAAATGGCACTATAGAAAAGCGAAATAAAAAATGGCACTATAGAAGAACGCAATAAAACAATGACACTATAGATATGCTCAAGTATGCAAGCACTATTAGGAGCACAAAAACTTCAGGTTTATTATGCGACAATATAAAATATGTTTTGCCCCTATAAATATAACATACAATTAATTACAATTAATAATCCCAACCCATAGTAGAATATTTGGAGGGAAAAAATCTATGTAGTATAAGTCAAAGATTGTAATATTCTTAATGTACCCACATGGTCGGGCTGAAGATATTTAAAAACGCAGTCGCTCTTCCAATCTCCAATAGCCCGGACGACAGGCAGGGATACTCCAGCACTAATAAGCCAGGATGCGCCACCCCGTCGCAGGCTATGGGAGTTGAAATCTGTGACCGAGAGCCCTATCCTACTAAGCAAAAATCGGAGGCGTTGTCTGAAACTATCCGGGGTAAGAAAAACAGTATTCGTTGCATCCAAATAAGAAAAAAGAGGAATATCATCAGCCAGATCCCCTGCTGCCAGAAAAAATTTTGCCACAGCCGTAGCTGGGCAGACAACTCTGCCCTCTAACAGTGGGAGGACTAACTCATGCGCTCTACCCCGGAACTGAATGGTCTTAGACGATCTGACGGTCAAAACAATACCGTTGGCAATGACCCTACAGTCTCCTCTTTGGATAGATTTGCATTCTGCATGTCTGGATTTTCCAGTCGGCGTAGTAAAATTGCTTATGCGCAATAACCCAAAGAAACCTGTCAGAATAGCTGCCCACATCTGCGAATCCCTGACATCGCTCATATCCAATTCCTGTCGGATAGCATCCAGGTGTTCAAGTGTCAGGGGCAACTTGAAGGCAGCTCTTGCCCCTTTAACACGCTTAATACCCAACAGCATGGATCTAAGCCGCCAGCTATCCACAGACGGGTCAGGTAAACTGAGCTGCCTATGTAATAGACGTAAAACATTTAAATATTGTTTAATAGAAGAAAAAGTTTTTGAACGAGCAAGAAAAGCCACATAACGTAAGAGTGTGGTACTAGAGGCTGGTATTGGTACACAATTGATTAAGCTACAAAAGTCAAAATAACACTTTAACTGTGACCGGTAAGAACGTTTAGTTGATGCTGCCAGGGCGTTGGATTCCCATACACCTATCTCACGGTCAAGTTCAGATACGAGCTCTGCCACTGCTGGATCTGTTTAGAAATAAATAACATAGCACCATGAGACATATGATATGGTAACCAATAGTGCGAGGGCATTGCGAATTGAAATCGCTTGAATATCTCATATATAAACCTTTTTATCTGTCCATATTCATGCAGTCGTGAAATTGCATCTCCAAGGGTATTCTGGTCCCCTGGGAGATACACAGCCTGAATGGAAAAATTATTAGCCAAGGCCAATGCACTAACGACCCTGAGGAGCTCCAATGCCTCAGGGGAGCTGGTTGTCCCCTTGTTGACAATAGCTGCTGTTGCCATATTGTCTGTATAAATATATACCCTCTTATTTTTCCAAGCGACATGCCAACGCTTAACTGCCTCGACTACCATAGCCAACTCCTGTATATTGATATGGGACAGGGCCAACTCCGGTCTGTCAACGTGCCAAGCATAATATACCCAATCTAGGCCGCAGAAGGCTCCCCCGGCAATTGGGCAGGCGTCGGTCTGCACGGTGACAGTCGGTCTGGCATCCCATATCAATCTAAGGTTTGGTGTATTACATAAAACGAAGGACCACCACTGGAGGTCTGAAATAATTGGCAATATACGAGCCTTATGGTAAGGTGATTTTAGTTCAGATAATAAATTAAAAATACTTCTACAATGAACTCTCCCCCAGGTAAAAACATTTGACGCCCAGCTGAATTTGCCTGCTAACTGTTCTAATTGTTTGCGTGTAGCTCTTTTCCTTTTCGTAAAGGTTAGGACTTCTTGTATCAGGGCCGAAATTTTCCTGGGCTCAAGGGAAAGTTCATTGTTAACAGTGTCAATTACAATTCCTAAGAATGCCAAGCGTGTGCAAGGGTCTACTACTTTACGCCAGTTTATGGAAAGCCCCAGTGAGCGTAGTAGTAATAATAAGCAGTTGAAGGCTTGTTTACACCGCTCCTCTGTGGCCTCATAAAGAATAAAGTCATCCAAGTAAGCCCTGCACTTGAATCCCCTACGGTGCATCATGCGACACACACTCTGAGTTAGTCTATTGAAAATCCCGGGTGATTTTCTTGCTCCAAAAGGGAGTCTAGTGTCAACAAAATAACGGGGGGTTGATTCCCCAGAGAAAGTCCATTGCAGCCCTGCTACATCGTAATTTGAGGGGTGGATTCCAACGGACCTGTACGCTGCCTTGAGGTCTACTTTGGCAAGGTAGTAACCAGGAGCAATGTCTGCCAGAATTCCTTCAACAGTTTGATATTGGAAATTATCTTTCACCGCATAGTCATTTAAGCTACTACCGGGCGGACGGCTCGCGTCGTGGATCACTCTAACTGTACCGTCCGGTTTTGGTACTGCCCCTAAAGCACTAATGATAGTAGGTGGGTTTAACACCTGCACGTAGTTATTTTCTTCAATTTCACACACAATAGCAGATTCTACCTCACTTTTTTCTTTTATAGCGGAACGACAGTTTGGCGTAACTATTTTCATGTTTGCACTGGGTAGTGAGTCAACTATTAGAAAACCACATTTGATACCGTTCATAAGAAAAATCTGATCGCAGTCATTGGTCAACTCTCGTTCCCACACAGAAGCACAATTTGTTATCGGGGCAGGGTTGAACTGTTGTTCCATGGGGCTCCGTTTTTTGACTGATTTTGTTTGTGATTATACTGCCCGTGCGAGGGGGCAGAACAGGTCAGACACAGATGAGCGTAATTGCAGAACTGCAGGTTGCAACCATTGCGACCATTGAATTTGGCGCAAACCGGCTTTCCTGTACTAGGATCAAATCTGGATCTGTTAGGCATAAACGTTTTTCTTGGCGGGAGTATTGATCCTCTACTACTCTCTGCCTTCTGTCGAAGCATGGATTGCATGAGGAAATTGTCATCCTTATCCCAGGAGCTGGAGAATTGATTTTGCTGCCGTCGAAATTCCACATCGTACACTAACACGGACTCCCATATGAACACTTGTGCAAATGCAGCAACTTTCGCGAGATAGCGTGAATATGCGAGAATGGTTTCCTGGGTACAGTTATCTGTAGTTATCATTTCTGTCAATATTTTTGCTGAACCCTCGAGAAACTGGGCAGGGCTTATTCTATCATGTGGAATTCTATTGTCTTTGATTTTGATTTCCACATTTCCAAAATCCACATTTGTATTGTCACTCTGTGGGGCCATGGAAACAAAGTCTCTCACAAGTCTAAGCGGTGTTTTACGCGCCATAATCGATGCGGGGGGCACTACATTTGACAATAAATTTAACATACTTGCTATTTGTTGTCCACCAGGCGAAGTTGTTGTCGTAGTTGTCCCAGCCACATTTCCGGTATTTTCACTGTCAGCGGCCTGCTGTAGGATACTGCACAGGTCATTTATTGATAAATTCGTAGTCTGACTTGAAGCTCTTTCCACGTCTGTATTTGTGTCCGCCAAACTCTCGCCTCTCTCTGTATTCGAATTACCGGTACGCGTGGTTGACTGCATATCACCGGATCCATTTCTAAATGCATATCCCGGTACCTGTTGTAAAGCATCTTTCAATAGCAAAATCTGGCCGATCGGGAGGTCGGTGAATGTTGAGTCTATCAGTTCTGGCGCCAATAGTCGAAGACTTCTTGCAGTCTCGAACCCTTGAGCCATAATGGCCGCAATCGTTTCCGTGGTGAAATCATTCGGGAGGACTCCGATGTCATCTTGTAGAATTCGCAAAGTTAAACTATGATAAGCATCTTAAAAAGCGCACTCAACCCAGCAAGCAACAAGCATTGAGTGAACTGGCGCCAAAATTGTCATCTTTGTGTACAATCAATCGTGTCCAGTGGTGTACACAGAAAGCCATGACGTCATCATCGAGCGCCACCTACTGGCTGTGTTTTACGTAGACAAACAATTGTCCACCCCATTAATAAGGGCTGAAAATCAATAACATTCTCTGTCTACATGTAAGTGATACAATGCTTTAAGCCAAGTTTTAATCAACTGGAACTTGTTACTTAGGGCAAGGGAAATTAATAGGGGTTGAAAATTCATTTAACGCTGAGGAATGATAGGATTTTTGGTCTACTGGTTAGAATGCTTTCATTATAATAAGCATTGTGAATGGTTGTCAATCAAAGTGAAACAGCAAAGCAAGTCATGTGCTGTCGGATATCTGAAAGTGACATATTCATCACATTCAATTACTATATATAATGGGTTTTTTTTTTCAAAATTTTATTGATTAAAGATATGAAATTCAAAAGCGTTTTCAATAAAGCAGCTACAGTACATGTACAAAGGTATTACTAATACACAAACTGGTCAAAACCACTTTAGAAGACCTTTTTTCATATGTGAGGTTGTTTGCATGAGATGCCAAAGAACTTTCTCATAAGTCTGTATTATATTATGAACAACAGATTTGAAAGGATCTTTTATTATCTATTTTTGTACATTTCACATATTTGTTATGTTACAGATTTTTTTCCCATTGTCAATTTGACGAAATTAAAGCATGACCCTTGACATCCGGACAATTTTATACTTTGTTGTGTTCGACATCAAATACACTGCACAGGCATGTTAAGCCCAATTTCTAATAAATATTGCACTTTGTATTTGACTGTTGCATTTCATCAAGCTATCAGATTGATGTGACTATGGCATTGGTGGGGTTAATTAGAATAAGCATCAAAACTAGATACATTTGAAGTTTATTTATCTGACAGGAAATATAAAAGAGTATAAAATATGTCTTCACTATGTTATATAATAGTGATTTATGACACTTGTATGAAATGTGTTAAATACGGCGTTGGCATGGTAATATACTCTTGTTTTGACTTTGTTGAAGTCATTTGTTTTGCTATTTTAGTATTTTTATCATTTTTATTTCCTGTTCATATGAATTTTTATCGTGTTCATTCTTTAACCCTTTGAACCCTGAGCCCCTGTGGATTAAACGGCCCCCACCCTGAGCTCCTGAGCGAAATATGTGAAAAAAATGAAATCTTATAAAAACTCAGTTTAATGATCTAAAACTCACACAATCTGATTACATAACAGTATATAATGTTCTTAGAATATCTAGCGCCAATATTCTACTTTGTTATGCCAGTCGTTCCAACATGTAGAGCCTTCACGGATGCATAAATACCGACGACAATATGCACACCAAAATGTCGTCTTTTTTTGTTTGTATGGACAGTCCTTTTTTGACTTGGGTTGATTAGTCCTTTGGAATTGGTTGAATTTGTAGCTACAAACTACACAGACATTGTTTCCAGTTGCTTCAGAGGGTCTCTCTGGATAATGTAAGCCCACATTCTGCATACGCGTGGGCACATCGAGTTCTCTTGATTCGCTACGTACCGCAAGTGTACGGTAGTCTCCAATTAGCTGCAGACACAGTTCATCTAAAAACATGTTGAAGGTTCTATACCTTTTTCCATTAGCCTTATGTGGGCTATAGTGATTCATAATAACATAGGCATTGTACAGGGTCCAATACATAAACTTGACGAACAATCGTCGCGGCCATTTGTAATGTCGACGTGTCCGATTCAAGCGTGAAATTTGATCATTCTTGTCACAACCACCCATGTATTTGTTGTAATCACTTACTAGCACTGGGCACTTTATATTTTTCACGGTTCCATCTTTACTTTTTCTGTCTACACTGCCCATGTCTGTGGGGTTGTGATAAGAAGATAAGAAGTTTATTGGTTTATTGTCATTCCAGACAACACCTGACAAATTATTCCGGCACATGTATTCGGACTGACCACGGTCGGGCAGTGTCTTTTTAGTTTTTTTCAAGTCCTTTGGATAACACGAGCGGTTTGTCATTATAGTTCCCACTGCTAAAGTTCCCATCTTATCATACAGATGATCAAACAAATTTACGCCGGAGTAGAATCGGTCCATGACAATCATGTGGCGTAAATCTGCAACACCAGCGCCCTTTATGAGGTCAACAACTACATTGCCTGTTGCACCGAGTATATCAACAAAATTTTCGTCACGCTTTTTACCAGTATAAATTTCAGCATTACAGATGTAGCCAGTATTTGAATCGCACAGCAGAAATGATTTGACTCCCCATTTGACTGGCTTTAGTTTGATGTATTGTTTGATCGCTAGTCGGTTCTTCAACGGAATCATTCCTTCGTCTAAACTGAGATGCTGTCCGACATTATAATGTTCACGAAACTTAGGTAAAATAATATCTAGCATCGGTCTAATCTTGTAGATTTTGTCAGTCTTATCTAAATCTGGGTCCGTCTCATCAACCAAATGAAGAAAAGACCAAAGTGCAAGGAACCTGTCACGCTCCATTACTTCCCGAAATCCAGGTGTACTCGCGACAAAGTTTTTTCCAGAGCCTTTCCAGTAATGTTCATAGCGAGGTTTTATAACACTAGTTTCCATCTGCAATCTCAGTCCTAGAAATGCTTTCATCTCTTTCGTGTCAACAGCTTTGTAAGACTTCGCATAATAAGCATTTGGTTTATTCAATTTTGTTTGTTGTGCACGTAAATTCGTTTGTTGACACAACATATGCCAGAAGTCTTCATTGAGAAAAATGTTTAGATAATCAATAGGTGTACTGTTATTATTTATATTATCTGGGATATTTTTAGGTCCCATTTCACCACCTAAAAAGTCTGTATTTACAGGGGTAAAAGTTTGACTCCAGCCCTCTCCAAGAGGGTTAGTTTCTTTGCGTCCACGTTTACGTTTACGTGGTGGGGTGTTGTCTTCAGCAGCCCCATCAATATGATCTTCATCCTCGTCACTACTTTCGTTTCCGCCACGGACATTTACAACAGATTCATTATCCGACTCGGAACTCAATTCTTCTTCGGGATAATCCGACTCTATGTCATTTTCTTCAGTGTCAGACAGAACTGAATCAACAACGTGTTGTAGAGTAAAACGTCTAGAATCCCTACTCGCCATTATTTCGACAAAAATCGTTCCAAAGTACTGAAATCGATGAATGTTTACATATTTCTCTGAGCAGAAACCGGAACTGATGTATTTTAGTCAAACGGGCGCTGATTGGTTACCTCGTAATCACTTATTTATAAATAGACCCACGTGTAGACTGGCCATGTGCTCAAACCCCGATATCTCGGTGTTACGGGATATAGACAAATGACCTCTACCCCGATATATCGGGGTAACGGGTTCAAAGGGTTAAGACTGTTATGCATATGCTGCATTTACAGATATGACTTGGTAATGATTCTTTATGTCCATTGTCATACACTAAGGCTACACCAATTTGATTATTTACTGCTATTATCTATTGATTTGATACTTGGTATATGGGTGGAATTCAAAATTGGTAGGATTTTCAATTCATCATAACAGAAAAAACAGACTTGTCAAAAATGATTTTATTTTTTATTCCAATAACATCTCAAACACTTAATTATTCAAAAATACAAACATGCAGGCTTAAATGCCGGAATTATTTTTATAATTGATTCAAAAGTAATTAATAAGAGAAAAAATGTCCTGACCGTTACCAATTCTTAAACAGGATAACAAAATTTAAATATAATTCTGATTTATATTTGAATGTTGGTATATACTGTTTTTAAACTAACTTAATCACACTTGAGGCTAAGAATATTATCATGACTTTTTACAGTGATCTTTTGTATCTTTTATTTGTTGAGCAAAAAAAAAGAAGCATTTTTCTAAAACATTATCATGTGTATAGCTTTAAACAGGGGAAGATGTCAATAAGAAGCATTTGCTACTGTTTCAAGAACATCTCTTAATGACACCTACATAAAGATGAGCATTTCTTGCATCATAATTACTTAATTACAGCAGTCAATTAACATCGGTAACGGTCAGGACAATGCAGGTAACGGTCAGGACAGGAATGGTAACGGGTTGACATGAACCATAAACAACCTAATTTAACAAATAAATTTGTAACATGAAAGGGATCAAACACTATTATTAACCACTGACCCTAATTTTTGGCAGACAGTGCACAAACAAGTAGAAATGGAAAGCTTTAACAACTGATGACATCTTTTCTCCAATACTATAGTTACGGTTCACACTTATGAATTTGAGATATCAAAACTATAGATAAATTGTTGGTATTTAAATAACAGTCTATAGCTTTCAAGTATGAGAAAAGCGACTTTTGTTTTGATTGAAAACTCACTATTATCAGTATCAAAAGACAAGAGTAATCAGCATAAATAATTTTATAGCCGTCTCTATGTAATACATTTCCTTCATTTTCGGACAAATATTTTTGAAATACAATGGTTTTACAAACATCTCCAGTCCAGTCGAATAGACTACAACTACAGAAATCTTGAAGCTTTGAATAGTATTCAGTAGATTTCAAATTCATCAAATTAAACAAATTGAAAAAGTCAAAGTAACACATCTCACATTTTTCAAATGTACAAATATCTATGAGGAATGAATCACTTGAAAAAAACAATCTCATAATCATTCAAGTTCACTTCTTGGTACAATATGATATTCCTCAATTGTTGTCCACTGTTTCATTTTGTACATTTGCTGTAAGCATATGTTTTTTAACCATATTCCATATTTTGGGATCAACCTCTCGGTGTCTGGAGTTCTCCTTACCCTTGATCGGTAATGGTTCTGGGATACACGCAAGGACACTGATGTCATAATCA